CCATTGGCTTGAACGCCGATGCTTGAAGTTCGAAGTAAAACCTTTTATGGAGTCTTGCTTCTCAAAGGGACTACTTAAGCCACCTTTCGATTCTCAAATCGAGCAGCATTATTTTTTTTTGTATATCCCTGAGTAAAGAACTTTTAATCTAACAGTTGAATTTTCAAAATTCACATTTAATATAAAGTTATTAAGTGGTGTAATACTTAATAAAAGTTACACGATGTTATTATAACCCCCTCTCTCTATATATATATAACTTAAACATTGGCACTTGAACAAATGTAAAAAACTCATGTACCTATAATTATAAATGTATAAGTGAAAACGAAAAATTAATGAATCAATATTCTTCGATGATGTTACAAAATTTATAATTAATTTATTTAAAATCAATTTAAAATTCACGTGAAATGTTTTTTAACCTAGAATAGTTGTTTTAACTTATAAAAATAATAATTGATATTATTTACAGAAAAACTTTTTGTTGGGTAACATTATAAAGAAAGAGTATAATTTAGTTTGAATTTGCCAACTAAAAGATTTTTATACACGGAAACCTTCTATTTTTGTAAACAAAAGTCTTCCAAGTCTATAGCTGCATTCTTACTAGGGATGGCAATAGGACCCCATGGGGGCGGGTAATAGTAAACTTGTCCCCGCTCCTCTGAATAAAAATTGACCCCATACCCACTCCATATCTGTGTGGGTATCCATTAAGCGGGTATCCATGAATTTTTTGAATACCCACAGATATCCATGGATATCCATGGATATTTATAAATTTTTTAAGAAATTAAAAAAATTATATTACAAATAATTTAAAGTTTATATTTAATGTCATTGAAATATTAAAAATAAAAATTTAATGTTAATTTTGAATTTGTATTTAACGTTAATTTTGTTGAAATAATAATAAAAATACAATATAATCAATAACTTAAAATACATCAATCTGACAAGTAAGTTAAAGTCTCATCACAAAGTTATAATAATTCAATCTCATAATTCCAAACGAAAGTAAATAATTTAAAGGACATAAATATTATTGGTCCAATCAAAGCTAGAAAATTAATCAAATTACATCTAACATAATTCTATAACATGCTTAACACATGTTAGTAACTTCATCAACCTCACTTTTGTAAGAAAATAAGATGAGAGAGTGTAGTTTTAGGGTTATGTGGTATAAGGATAATATATTTAAGAAATAATATTAAACGGGTATCCGCGGGTATGGATATCATCATACTCGCCCTCATCCCATTTATAAACGCGTAAAAAATTATCCGTCCCTATTATCTGCGGGTACCCAATTAGCCTATCAATTTATTATCCGTAGTGGATTTTATTCGTAAGTACCCGCGAGTACATGTATTTTTGTCCTCGCTAATTCTTACACTCAACAACCTTCTACAAAAGTCATGAAATAGCTAATGGGATTCACACAATTCTTTTTTCATGTTTACAATGAGTTCCATTTTCATAACCTGTCCTCCCAAAAAAAAAAAAAAGAATTTTGTTGAAATAATAATAAAAATACAATATAATCAATAACTTAAAATACATCAATCTGACAAGTAAGTTAAAGTCTCATCACAAAGTTATAATAATTCAATCTCATAATTCCAAACGAAAGTAAATAATTTAAAGGACATAAATATTATTGGTCCAATCAAAGCTAGAAAATTAATCAAATTACATCTAACATAATTCTATAACATGCTTAACACATGTTAGTAACTTCATCAACCTCACTTTTGTAAGAAAATAAGATGAGAGAGTGTAGTTTTAGGGTTATGTGGTATAAGGATAATATATTTAAGAAATAATATTAAACGGGTATCCGCGGGTATGGATATCATCATACTCGCCCTCATCCCATTTATAAACGCGTAAAAAATTATCCGTCCCTATTATCTGCGGGTACCCAATTAGCCTATCAATTTATTATCCGTAGTGGATTTTATTCGTAAGTACCCGCGAGTACATGTATTTTTGTCCTCGCTAATTCTTACACTCAACAACCTTCTACAAAAGTCATGAAATAGCTAATGGGATTCACACAATTCTTTTTTCATGTTTACAATGAGTTCCATTTTCATAACCTGTCCTCCCAAAAAAAAAAAAAAGAACAAAAAAAAAAAAAAAAAAAAAGTGTCACAAAAGGCATAAGTATTCTACCACATTGAGGACCCACTTATAAAACTAATAGCTTATGTGTGTTTCTGGGTTCGTAACCCATACTAAGCATGTGTTGCAACTCCCAATTCCCAACACTTTATTTTCATCATGGGATATTTTGTTAGTCCCAATATAACATGATGGAAGACCATCCTTGGAGCTTTAAGTGGGACCCATCACTAGGCCCATGGCTAGGAGATTGGAAAAGGATAGGGGAGCTAATACCCCTAAAGACATGCTTCTCATATTGATCATCCTCCTAAGCCTTGTTGGCATAAACTTTATTTTTATTCCTATTTTACGCTTGTTCTTAACTTTCCCATTTTCACCCTTGTATTTTGGGTATCTTAGAAATAGGATTTATTTTACTTGTATTTCCCATTTTACATTTGTATTTTGGGGTGTTTAGGACCTAGAATTTATTTTCACTTATATCAGATTCAACTACTTCAAGTACATCACACACTCCATTATTGAACACTATTTTATTTCGGTGTAGCCACAAACTCCACACAGTTGCAACCCAAATAGTCACAACAACACGAGCAGGTTTTTTCCCAGCAACAAAACCACTCATAGTCAACAATTGGCCTTCCACAGAATCTGATAAACATGATGAAAAACCCAACCACCGACATAATGAATACCAAACTGAGCTAGCAACATCACAATGTAGAAACAAGTGTGTCACATCCTCCTCCCTGTTATTACAAAACACACAATCCTCGTGAATAAGCAACACTCCCCGCCGCACTAAAGCTTGACGCACAGGCAATGACCGGAGTAATAATTGCCAAGCAAAAACCATACTCTTACGCGGTGCCTTGGTTTTCCATATACGCCGCAATGCCAGCATTACAACCTCATCCACCACCTCACCTATATTATAGAAAGAGTACACAAAATCATATGCCGACCGCACTGTGAATGCTTTCGATGAGTCACACTTCCATAACCACAAATCCTCCATGTGCACCTTAGGTTGGACAAGCTCAATCATCGCCTGTAGTTCATGAGCAAGATCAATTTCCCTTTGCAATAATAAAGGTCGACGCCAAACCAAGGCCCAATTCCACGATGACCCATCAAAGCTTCCATTTTCAGCTATTAACGATTCCTTATTCATTGCTAAAGAGAACAAACGAGGGAACACATCCACAAGAATTTCATCACCCAACCATTTATCTATCCAAAACCGAATCGTTCTACCATCACCAAGAATACGACTTAAATTTGACGACAACCAAA